TCCAAGTTCTGAAGCACTAAATAATCGATTATCAGATTTGCAATAATCGATTATCAGCCTTGCAGCCAAAACCCAGAATCTTCAGAGAGGACCAATAATCGATTATCACTTGTTGACAATCGATTATCTGGGTTACCGTTGTCCTCCAACGGATAGAATTTTAAATTTTTGGACAGGGAATCTTTGGATAATCGATTATCATGGTTTGACAATCGACTATCAGCCTGTGTCCCTGAAAAATTTGTCTTCATCCTGTTGGAAACTCTAGCAACGGGTTTATCCCATTTTGGGCTATAAAAGGGCACCCAAATCCTCTCTTTTAACACACAATTCTTCAACATTTCAATACTCCTTCATTGCATAATCATTCCTATTTTTCTTAGCTATTTGAGAGCCAATTCTTGAAGAAATTGTCATGTTCTTGAGCGTTCACTAGTTCACTCATATCTACTCTTTGTGAGAGTTTCATTCCTGAGTGTTTAAGTGTTTTCATACACTTTAAGGGAGTTTGTTCCCTTGTTGTAAACTCGAAGGAAGTTTCTTGTTCCTTCGTGAGAAGTCTTGGAGTGCGGTATCTCCGAGCAAAGGTGTTGAGGCTCGTGTGACTCGGGTTCTCAAGTTGTATCGGTTTGTTAAGCACCCTTAAGCTTAACGGAGTTAGTGTAGCTCGAGAGAGTCTCTCGGGGGGCTGGATTAGCCACACGTTGATAAAATCCGGTGTGCTCCTTCTTTACGCTCTTTACTTTAACGCTCTCGTTTTAATTTCCTGCGATTTTGTTTTAAACGCTATTCACCCCCCTCTAGCGTTGGGCCTTTATTCTAACAACAACGATGTTGGAGTGACCAACAGCGCTGTCTGGCGTTGGCAGCTGAAAACCATGGTTTGGTGTTAAGTCTTCCAACAGCAATGTTGGTCAATGGACCTCTCTGTTGAGCCAAGGTTGAAAATCCAGAAACATCTGGAACAGCGATGTAGACTTCTCTACATCGATGTTCAACCTAAGCCAAAAGAAAATGCATTTGCAGAAAGTTTTTGGACAGCGTTGTTGACCCAGCAACATCGATGTCAAACCATTTTTCATTCTTCAAAGTCAGGCCTGAACAACGATGTTCAAGTAATGAACATCGATGTAGGCACCTCACCATTGGAAGGAATTTATGGATGAAACTTTCCATGTTTGGAAGTCAACCGCCAAAACACCAATGTTGGCCTTTTGGACATCGCTGTTGGCTTGACCGTTGCTTCCTTATTTTCAAAAACTAAGCCTAAAACAGCGATGTCCAAGTTACGGACAGCGCTGTCAGGCTGATTTTCAGCAGATCCAATTTTAATCAAATCCCACAAGTTGTGCCAATCACCCCATTCAACTCCTACCCGTTGGAGCCTATTTTTCTACAATAAAATGGGGTGTTTGGGTCTGCTTTACACATCACATTACTTCACAACTCTTATTGTTCATTGCATTACATTCATACATTTTCCATAGCTCCTTGAGCGTTTTTAGTTACTCAATATCCATATAAAAGAGAGTATTGTTCTTGAGTGATTTAGTGTTTTTTAGACACTTGATAAGAGAAAGCTTTTCTCTTGAGTAGTTCGAAGGAAGAGTTGTTTCCTTCGAAGGTTTGTTGAGGTTCGTGTGACTCGAACTCTCAAGTTGTACGGGTTTGTTAAGCACCGTTAAGTTTAACGTTGATAGTGTAGCTCGAGAGAGTCTCTCAGAAGGCTGGACTAGCCACACGTTGTGGTGAACAAGGGTAAAAATGGTGTGCCTTTTCCTTGCTCTTTTACTTTACGCTTTTAATTTTTTATTCCCGCGTTATTTTCGTTTCAAACGCTATTCACCCCCCTCTAGTGTTGGGACATTTTTCTAACAACACTCACCAAGGCACCAAGGCCCCATGGAATTTCCTAGTGATATTCTTGTGGAGAATTCCTCCCATGTTTCTCTCTCTACCTTGGTGCTGTGTAAAACCCACACACATAAATACTCCGTAGCTTTTCCATATTAAAGGGCAAAGAGAAGCACAATTACTTAACCCAATCAATTTGCTACAGGATAGAGTTTATTCACATGCATACTTCCACCTTTTGGACAACTTCCCCCCCATGGAGTACTTTCGGCTTTCCCTTTGTCATGTTCCTTTTTTTCTTTTTGATTTTTCTTTTTCTTTCTTTTTGAATATTTAATCAATATTTCCCAACAAACTTTATCTGGATTAAATAATCAAAAAACTTTGTAGCTCCATCTTACTTCTCTGGTGAGATCACCGCTACTGTGAAAGAAAAAAATATACTTAGCGCCACCGAGATCACCGCTGCCAACCACGAAGATGAAAAAAATCCTCGTGGCTCCACTTTGGTCCAATCACCAAGATCACTACCTCCTTGAAAAAATTTTCATGACCCTATCTTGCTCAATACCATAAGCTCTCCGCCACCATGTGTAGACTCATGGTCGTGGCCTCACCTTACTCAATACGACAGGGTCCTCACCATTTCTAGTTATTGCTGTACCCGTGGCTCCCCATCTCAATCAACCCGTCAAGATCATCGCCACTACCTTAGCTTCTTAGAGTTTTAACCCTCCAACCGAGCTAAAAAAATGACAGCTCACCTTTGTTAACACTCTCTGAAACCACCCATCTAGCAATTAGCTTCTCTCAATCCGCCCATCTTGCACCGCCGCAACAACACCTATGGGACACGCTGCCCGACCTCTTCTTGCTGGGAAGACTTTCGACACAAGACACAAGCCGTAATTTTCCACTCCGCTAGACACCGGTCTCCTCAAGTCTTGTAATTGCTGCATACTTCACAAAGCCAGCATTCCGCTTCGTACCTCGTCTCCATGCCATCCACTTTGTTTCTGAAGTCCCATGTTCGCCTTAGTCCCTGGGTTCTAAAAATTTCTTCTTTTACCACTTACAAATCCCTCCTGCCCAGCGCAACCAAGCTCAGATACCAGAAAAATGAGAGAACAAACACAAGAAGAGTATATGAGAGAAAAAAAATTATATTTCCACTATATCAAGACAATATACAAAAAACTCTCCCCTGTTTACAAGGCAATATTCCAGACACATAAACAAATTTTTTCACATTATATGCCCGGATGTATTTTTCAGAGTAACTAAATACCACTGAGAAGAACAAGAACATTTCCAGACGAAGGGAGTGAAAAAATAGCTGACCAAAATTTGTTTATTGGAGAAAGAATGGCCCGTAGTGTCCAAGAATATCGGAGTCAATGTTAAAATTTGTTTATACTGTGTATTCATTACTCCATGTGTCCAAGAATTATCTTTATGTTTGTTTAATTTTTTCAAGATCTACAATGTACTACTTTCACCATTAATATCTCTATTCATATATAATTTTATATTACAAATATATGATATTTTAAAGCTTTATTTGAAAATAAATGTATTAATATAAAATGTATATCATAATTCAATTTTTTCATATTTTATGGTCAAAGTTAGAAACTTTTAACACAAAAAACTGGAATATAATCAGGTACGGAAGTAGTATCAAATAAAGAATAAAGTAAGTTATAAAATAATTTTTGGAACTTCCTAAAAATTGTATGGGATATATTAGAAATATTTAAAAATAAAATTAAAAAACTCAATATTGTGAGTACCCACTACTTCAAGACTAAGAGCTTGTTTTCTTCACTTTATTATTATTATTATTATTATTATTATTATGTTTATTATTATTATTTATTCTTAAGATAATCATATCATATCAAATTAGATCATATTCAATTACACCAAATCAAATCAAAATAATTTGAAGTATAACCACAATAAGATTAGAATAAACGCAACCAGGAGTTAATTAAATCAGATTAAATCCAATCAAATTAAAAAACAAGCTTTAAAGGTTCTAAAAAGAAGAGGAATACGGTGACTAAGGTTGTGTTCTCTTTGGATGATTTAATCTAACCTAAAGTGAACATTTTAAAACTTATCTGATCTGATCTAATCTAAATGGATCTGATCTAATATGATCTAATCTAAATAGATCTGATTTGATCTCAATGAAGCTGATTCAGAGTCAAATTCAAATTATTATTATTATTATTATTTAAAATTAAATTCTTAAACAAATAATAATAAACAATAATGATAATTTGAAAATGAAATCAAATTACTTTTTATTATTTCTTATTTGAATTTGAATTCAAATAGTAATAGTAATTTAAATTTGAACTCAAATTCATATAATAGTAATAATCAAAGTATAATAATAATAATTTTAATTTGAATTCAAATTATTATTATTGTTATTTAATCATTTACGTTTTGATATTTAATATATGGAAGAGAGATTGTTATTATTATTAAAACATCAAATCATTAGAAAATATGAATGTTATGCTACAAAATATTATATTTTTCTGCATCTTACATAATAAATTTATATTACAAAATATGAATGTAAATATTTTATGCTAAAAAGTATTGCATTTTTTCCAAAATTTAAAACAAAAAATTAGAAATTTAAATGTATAGTTGTCATGAGCACTACCTTCAAATCCCAGATGCATGATACTTGGTGGTGGGTGTGGAAACTAAAATTTTGGTTCAGACACGCTATGACTCCACACGGTTATGTCATGAGCACTACCTTTGATTATGATATTGACAAATGTGAAAAGACTATCAAATGATTGATTGCAATAACAACAACAACAACAACAACAACAACAACAACAACAACAACAACAACAATAATAATAATAATAATAATAATAATAATAATTAAATAATAATAATAATAATAATAATTCTGATTGGATTTGATCAGATCAGATCTGATTAGGTATGATCTATTCTGATCTGATAGGATTTTAATAAGAAAAAATAATAAGCAGAAAATATAAGTTGAATGCAACACTGCCTTAAACAAATGAAATTTACAAGAAAAACAAGTCGTATAAGTTATGAATGCTCAATCTCACAATGATATCAAAAATATTAAAACATCCGGGGCTAAGAACGACCTTTAATTTATTTCACAAGAGAAACAAAATACAATTGATGTGCTTAAATCTATTGACCTCATAGAGGTCCTATTTATACTACTAGGAGAGACCCACCATCACAAATTTCCTACTACAACTAGAAATCATATTGAAGGATGCCTTTACAAGTTTCCTAGTCTATCCGACATCTACTTTTCAATTCAAGTCATATTGACTAATAAATCTCTACCTTGACTTGAATTCTCTAGTCTGGAACAAACACTTCTCTTCTCATAAACAAAGCTTGTCTTCTTGAGTTGCATTTAATGTCTCTCATCGCAAAGACTCACAGGATGCCCAGTGGGCCCGGTAATGCTAATGGGCGTAATAATTCATGATATTGAGAAAACTCAAGTAATGCTTAAACCTACTCTGTGAAACTGGATTTGCGAACATATCTGCAGAGTCCCCACCCATTTCACCTTGATTCTACTCTCGTTTCTCAAGAAATGATACATGACATCGATGTGGTTTGTTCCCTCATGGTGGATTTGATATTTTGTCAAGAAAATCGCGCTCAAGCTATCACACTAGACTACTTCTTGATCTTGATGTAAGCCT